ACAAGGATTTACAATTGTTTACAATTATTTACAGTCCAAGACAAGGATTTACAATTATTTACACTCCAAGACAAGGATTTACAATTATTTACAATTATTTACACTCCAAGACAAGGATTTACAATTATTTACACTCCAAGACAAGAATTTTACAATTATTACAGTCCAGACAAGGATTTACAATTATTTACAATTATTTACACTCCAAGACAAGGATTTACAATTATTTACACTCCAAGACAAGAATTTACAATTATTTACACTCCAAGACAAGAATTTACAATTATTTACACTCCAAGACAAGAATTTACAATTATTTACACTCCAAGACAAGAATTTACAATTATTTACAGTCCAAGACAAGGATTTACAATTATTTACACTCCAAGACAAGGATTTACAATTATTTACACTCCAAGACAAGGATTTACAATTATTTACAATTATTTACACTCCAAGACAAGGATTTACCCGTTTTTACAATTATTTACAACTCCAAGACAAGGATTTACAATTATTTACACCCAAGACAAGGATTTACAATTATTTACAATTATTTACACTCCAAGACAAGGATTTTACAATTATTTTTCACTCCCCAAAACAAGGATTTACAATTATTTACAATTATTTACACTCCAAGACAAGGGTTTACAATTATTTACAATTATTTACACCCCCAAGACAAGGTTTACAATTATTTTACAATTATTACACTCCAAGACAAGGGTTTACCCAAATTTTTTACACTCCAAGACAAGGGTTTACAATTATTTACAATTATTTACACTCCAAGACCAAGGATTTGCAATTATTTACAATTATTTACACTCCCAAAGGGGAAGGGTTTACAATTATTTACAATTATTTTACACTCCAAAACAAGGATTTACAATTATTTACAAATTTTTTACACTCCAAGACAAGGAAATTTACAATTATTTACAATTATTTACACTCCAAGACAAGGATTTACAATTATTTACAAATTTTTTAAAACTCCAAGACAAAGGGTATACAATTATTACACTCCAATACAAAGATTTACAATTATTTACACTCCAAGACAAGGATTTACAATTATTTACAATTATTTACACTCCAAGACAAGGATTTACAATTATTTACACTCCAAGACAAAGATTTACAATTATTTACACTCCAAGACAAGGATTTACAATTATTTACAATTATTTACACTCCAAGACAAGGATTTACAATTATTTACAATTATTTACACTCCAAGACAAGGATTTACAATTATTTACACTCCAAGACAAGGATTTACAATTATTTATTTATTTATTTATTTATTTATTTATTTTTTTAAAAAAATTTGACACACATAAAAGGGGTCAAAAAAATCAGAAAAACAGTACCAAAGCCATTTATACATGCATAGCTTTAGGGGCTGCTTAAAATTAACTAAGATTAAACTAAGCAATGATAATCAGTGAAAAACTTTAATGAAAACAGATAACAATAAAGCACAAGTGAGTATTACAAAGACAGGTCATAGGGTTGTATGCATTGTTGTACATTCAGTAGAAGGGAGTATTCTGTTAGGTAGTGTATTTAAAAAAATAATAAAGTTAGATTGGGTTTAGGTTTAACATTTATGTGATATAATTGTGAGAAACATTTAAGATATACAATTTATAAGGTTCAGTTATTCAGTATTTATTTGGTTTTGGGTGAGTAAGTGATCTTTGAGAAGAGACTTGAATTTATAAACAGGTAGTGTTTCTTTTATATTTACAGGTAATGAATTCCAGATTTTAGGCCTTTTATGTGCATTGAGTTTTTTGCATAGTGTGAGATGGACACGAGGAACATCAAAGAGTGATCTGTGTCTTGTGTTATGGTCATGTGTTCTGTTGAGGTTGGCAAGGAGATGTTTGAGGGGAGGGTTAATATCAGAGTTAAGTGTTCTATGTATGTAATAGGTGCAGTAATAAGTATGGATGTTTTGTATGTGAGTAGGTTGAGTGTATTGAATATTGGTGGAGTGTGCTGCCTGTAGTGAGAATTTGTTATCATTCTAACTGCAGCCTTTTGTTGGGTAATTAGTGGTCTGAGATGGTTACTTGTTGTTGAGCCCCATGCACAAATTCCATAGGTGAGATAGGGGTAAATAAGAGAGTGATATAGGGCCAGGAGGGCTGACTGTGGAGCATAGTACCGTATCTTCGATAGTATGCCTACAGTCTTGGAAATTTTCTTAGAAATTTGTTGTATATGTGTATGAAATTTGAGTCTATTATCAAGGTGGATTCCTAAGAATTTCCCTCTGTTAGCTTTGTGATAGGTGATCCGTTATACATTATGTTAAGAGGGACATCTGTAGCTCTGTTACCAAACTGAATGAAGTAGGTTTTGTCAATGTTTAGTGTAAGTTTGTTAGTCCTCATCCAGGTAGATATTTTCTGTAATTCGGTATTTACAGTATTGGCTAGCGTGACTGGGCTCGGGTGAGAGTAGACGTATGTATGTCATCTGCAAATAGTGTGGGTTTGAGTAATTGCGAAGCATTTGGTAGGTCATTTATGTATAGGAGAAAGAGAAGAGGGCCAAGGACACTTCCCTGTGGGACACCAACTGTAATTGGTTGTGCAGAGGAGTTTTGCCCCATTTGCATACACATATTGGCTTCTGTTGCTGAGGTATGACTTGAGGTAGTTGAGGGAGTGCCCTCTTATACCATAGTGTGACAATTTTACGTGAGCAAGTCATGGTTAACTGTATCAAAAGCTTTACGTAAGTCAATGAAGATCCCCAGTGGGACTTCTTTTTTCTCTATTGCAGTGTATATATGTTCTAGCATGTGTATAATAGCATCATTAGTATTTTTATTTGGCCTGAATCGAAATTGGCAGGGGTTGAGTATGTTTTGGGAGATAAGGTAGGAGTAGATTCGTTTATGAATTAATTTTTCGAAGATTTTTGAGAGAGGGTGTAAGTTGGATATTGGCCTATAGTTATTCAACTCTGTTTGGTCTCCTCCTTTGTGGATCGGGGTGACCCTTGCTATTTTGAGTACTGTAGGGAAGGTGGAGGATTCAATGGATTTGTTAAAGAGTGTTGCAATTATTTACACTCCAAGACAAGGATTTACAATTATTTACACTCCAAGACAAGGATTTACAATTATTTACACTCCAAGACAAGGATTTACAATTATTTACACTCCAAGACAAGGATTTACAATTATTTACAATTATTTACACTCCAAGACAAGGATTTACAATTATTTACAATTATTTACACTCCAAGACAAGGATTTACAATTATTTACACTCCAAGACAAGGATTTACAATTATTTACACTCCAAAACAAGGATTTACAATTATTTACAATTATTTACACTCCAAGACAAGGATTTACAATTATTTACAATTATTTACACTCCAAGAGAAGGATTTAAAATTTATTTAAAATTATTTACACTCCAAAGACAAGGATTACAATTATTTACACTCCAAAAACAAGGATTTACAATTATTTGCAATTATTTACACTCCAAGACAAGGATTTACAATTATTACACTCCAAGACAAGGATTTACAATTATTTCACTCCAAGAACAAGGATTTACAATTTTTACACTCCAAGACAAGGTTTTAAACAATTATTTACAATTATTTACACTCCAAGACAAGGATTACAATTATTTACACTCCAAGACAAGGTTTTTACAATTATTTACACTCCAAGACAAGGATTTACAATTAATTTACACTCCAAGACAAGGATTTACAATTATTTACACTCCAAGACAAGGGTTTTAAACAATTATTTACACTCCAAGACAAGGGATTTAAAATTTATTTACACTCCAAGACAAGGATTTACAATTATTACAATTTTTTACACTCCAAGACAAGGATTTACAATTATTTACAATTATTACACTCCAAGACAAGGATTAAAATTATTTACACTCCCAAGACAAGGATTTACAATTATTTACAATTATTTACACTCCAAGACAAGGTTTTACAATTTTTTACAATTTTTTTACACTCCAAGACAAGGATTTACAATTATTTACAATTATTTACACTCCAAGACAAGGATTTACAATTATTTACACTCCAAGACAAGGATTTACAATTATTTACAATTATTTACACTCCAAGACAAGATTTACAATTATTTTACAATTTTTTTACACTCCAAGACAAGGTTTTACAATTATTTACAATTATTTACACTCCAAGACAAGGATTTACAATTATTTACAATTATTTACACTCCAAAAAAAGGGATTTTACAATTTTTTACAATTATTTACACTCCAAGACAAGGATTTACAATTATTTACAATTATTTACACTCCAAAACAAGGATTTACAATTATTTACAATTATTTACACTCCAAGACAAGGATTTACAATTATTTACACTACAAGACAAGGATTTACAATTATTTACACTCCAAGACAAGGATTTACAATTATTTACACTCCAAGACAAGGATTTACAATTATTTACACTCCAAGACAAGGATTTACAATTATTTACACTCCAAGACAAGGATTTACAATTATTTACAGTCCAAGACAAGGATTTACAATTATTTACACTCCAAGACAAGGATTTACAATTATTTACAATTATTTACACTCCAAGACAAGGATTTACAATTCGTAAAAAAATATTCTGAATGTTTTACATTAATTTACAATAATTTACACTGACTTATGATGATTTACACTGATTTACAGTCTTGTAAAAAAAGTTAATTATTTACAACTTACATTATGGCAGGACAAGAAAAATCTGTTGTAAATCATTTACAGTAAAAAATGATAATGACAATAATAATTATTATAATTGTGTCCACTGGACACTAGGACAATATTTACCATCTCTAGTATGTCCAAAATTGGACATTCAGTGGACAAAATGGTCATTTACACTTATTTTTAGGACATAGTTACCCATGTCCGAATGTCTTAATGGTTTAAAGGTATATAGTTAGATATTGAGACATTCACATGTCCTAAAGTCCTCCTAGGAGAGGATATGTCCATTTATTTTTACTGCCCATGTCTTAAATTGTATATGTGAGGACATGGGTTGGAGTTACCCATGTCCAGCAGTGAAGGTTGTCTCCTAGAGGACATTAGGACATTCCTACTCATGTCCAGTTGTGAAGATCGTCTGTTAGAGGACATTAGGACATTACTACCCATGTCCAGTTGTGAAGATCGTCTGTTTAGGGCATTCCTACCCATGTCCAGTTGTGAAAATCATTTGTTAGGGGACATTAGGACATTCCTACCCATGTTCAGTTGTGAAGATTATCTGTTTATGACATTAGGACATTCCTTACCTATGCCCGGTTGTAAAGCTCGTCTGTTTAGGACATTCTTACCCGTGTCCAGTTATGAAAATCGTCTGTTTAAGCAATTTGGACATTCCTACCCATGTCCAGATTCTCTCAGAAGGGAACAGTAGGACATGCTTGTCCTGCTCCAGAAGTGAACATGTCCAAGAGGCGCCGTTAAGACAACACCTTATCCATATCAACAATATGTCCCGACTCTGTGCAATGGCACTGGCTTCGGAAAACATCACCGGCCTCCCCGCATAATGACACCATTCTCACATAACGACACCGATTCCGCATAACGACATCGACTCCGCATAACGACATCGACTCCGCATAACGACACCGACTCAGCATAACAAACGTGAAGCGCAGCACAACAATCCCGCTTTACGGAATCAAATCCTCATTAACGAAGCCGAATCCATTATGTCTCAGCCACCGCGATGTCCACCGCCATCCATGTCCACCACTTCCAACCAGTCGATGTCCCTCACCCGGACTAGGTCCTACCCTCGAGCATCCTCCTCCTGGGACATGCACAGGACCCCCAACACCGCCTGGGACCCCAACAGGACCCCCAGTACCAGGAACACACCCTCAGGACAGGGACCGTCCACAGGACCGGGTCCCGGGACTAACCGTGACTCTGGGACGGCTCCGAAACCAGCTATAGGGACCAACTGGGACTCCGGGAGTGTGTCCAGTGCCCCTGTGGGGACATGGGACCCCCAGGGCAAGAGCCAGGGGTTGCGGGGGGGCCTGGGGTCCCAGCTGAAGGGGGTGGTGATAAGCAGTGCCCCCAGAGGACGTTTCGCCCCTCCAATTGGCTCGAAATGTGTCACACTTGGTCGTTCCTCCAGCTTCGTCTTGCGTCCTCTGACGCGATACTTGACGCAGGTAATGACGCAGTGAATGACTCCTTTGCTTATCAGTGTATATACACCGGGGAATATATACACAACTCTAGGTGCATTAACCTAAATATTAGTAAGTGGTCGGCAAGTTTGTATCTATCTAGTGACTCGTTACTGAGGTGAGCAGGAACTATCATACGTTACTCTCTCTCTCTCTCTCTCTCTCTCTCTCTCTCTCTCTCTCTCTCTCTCTCTCTCTCTCTCTCTCTCTCTCTCTCTCCCCTCCTCCTCCTCCTCCTCCTCCTCCTCACGTCATACCTAAGTCCTCTCATACAATACCAACTTGAAGTTTCCAAAGGTACATTGTATATGGTAATTTATGGTAATTTATTTTCCACAGGTGACTACACAGGTGTGTGTGATGCAGGTGTTTCAAAACGATGACTCTTATTTTATAGTAGTATGTACTGAAATTGGGTATATCTTTTTGAAACACTCTGTATATATGTCCACTAATTTACTGACCAGCTGATTCAGTGAGGTATACTTGTAGTATACCTGGAGTATACTTGTAGTATACCTGGAGTATACTTGTAGTATACCTGGAGTATACTTGTAGTATACCTGGAGTATACTTGTAGTATACCTGGAGTATACTTGTAGTATACCTGGAGTATACTTGTAGTATACCTGGAGTATACTTGTAGTATACCTGGAGTATACTTGTAGTATACCTGGATATGCCTGGAGTATACCTGGATATACCTGTAGTATACCTAGAGGGTGTTCGGTGGTCAAGGCCCCAGCGGCCTGGTCCATGACCAGGCCTGGTGGTGGATCAGGGGCTGATCAACCAGGCTGTTATTGCTGGGCACACGAATAAAATACTTGTCTAGCATTTGGGACTCTTTACTGAGGAAACGTTTTGCCAGACAATGGCTTCTTCAGTCCATTTTAAGAGAAGAACTGTGAAAGATAACGACGAGTTTGAGGCAATCGGTTCCTCAGGTAATTCATTTTGCCGCCAACAGTAACAGCCTGGTTGACCAGGCCCTGATCCACCATGAGGCCTGGTCACAGACCGGGCCACGGGGGCGCTGACCCCCAAAACACTCTCTGGGTATACTCCAGGTATATTATGGAGAGCTATAAATTGAAGACAGTAAGCTAAACTGTTGTAGCTTTTCTCATTTAGGCCTCAAACTGTGAAAGTATTGTCACAGTTACCTGTAATTGTGTGGCAGTTTGTCATCTGTCTGTTTTCAAGCGACAGGAAGCGGTGTGACGTCACATCCTGTTTCCTCTGGATCTCTCTCACGCCACTCACTTTTACATAAATGTCGGTATGATAAGAGTCTCTAGCCTCCCCTCCCATCTTACAGTCCTCAACCCGCTTCATAAGTTGCCACTTCGCTCCACCAGAGGCGCAAATAAGGCGCACTACTTACCAAAACAAACATGGCCGACGCGGAAGGATACACGGGTCGAGCGCGCTGATTGGTCGGCGCGAGGGGGGAAAAAACGCGGGAACCACTTTCCCGCCAAAATTAGAAAATAAGAGCGGGAAATGTGTTTTTTTCGCGCCTGAGAAAAGGTAACTCACCACAATCTCTTGTTGCGGCGGCTGGTGTGGTAGCGGTCTGCCAGATGATGATGCCGCAGCCAGTTTAAGAACTCAGTGTGCTTGTGAAGGTTGAGGTTTCCCCTGGGAGGGGGTTTCCTAAACCCGCAGTGGTGTCCTTGCGCGTGAAGAGGGTGTCCACCAGGGTTTAGTGCGATACAAATGGTTTCAGACAGCGGCGTCTGTTAAACACAGAGTGTGTATTACTTTATATATGAACAATTAAGGTGTATTGAACACTTCTCAGTGTTCAGTAACAACCTTTATGGAGACAATAACACAGAAGGTTCATTGATCTGTGTATTTCGATTCCCTTGTAGGACCCTTTTTCTGAAAATGAAGGGGAAATTCCAGAAGGGGTCGGAATTTTACAGATCGGGTTAATTTTGTTTTCTGTCTATTTATCATATATATAATATATATATATATATATATATATATAAGCAGAGGTACAAACCGATAATTGTCTCCTCAGTGTATATACACTGAGGGTTATATCACAGTGTATATACACTGGAGGTGTATATCACAGTGTATATAAAACTGAGAGGTGTATATCTCAGTGTATATACACTGTGAGGTGTATATCTCAGTGTATATACACTGAGAGGTGTATATCTCAGTGTATATACACTGTGAGTGTATATTCTCAGTGTATATACACTGAGAGGTGTATATCTCAGTGAAATATGCACTGTGGGGGTGTATATCTCAGTGTATATACACTGTGAGGTGATATCTCATGAAATATACACTGAGAGGTGTATATATCAGTGTATATACACTGTGAGGTGTATATCTCAGTGTATATACACTGAGAGGTGTATATCTCAGGTATATACACTGTGAGGGTGTATATCTCAGTGTAAAATACACTGAGAGGTGTATATCTCAGTGTATATACACTGAGAGGTGTATATCTCATGTATAACACTGTGAGGTGTATATACACCTGACAGGTGTATATCTCAGTGTATATACACTGACAGGTGTAAAATCTCAGTGTATATACACTGACAGGTGAATATCTCAGTGTATAAAACACTGGAGATAAAAACACCTCAAAGTGTATATACACTTGTGAGGTGTATATCCCCAGGTATATACATGGAAAGTTTACATTAATCAGTAATTTAGTTTTAAAGTATCTGACTGTGGTGACCAGTACCTGCAGCCTTAATGACCTGTGTAGAAGATAGACTTAAACTTCCATTAACCACCACCTCTAATGACCCTGGTGTATAGATAGACTTTAAACCCCATTAACCAACCAACCAGTCTTAATGATCCTGGTGTAGTAGATAGATTTTAAACCCCTTTAAAACCAACCAACCAGCCCTTAATGACCCGGTGTAGTAGATAGATTTTAAAAACCCCATTAACCAACCAACCAGCCCTTAATGACCCTGGTGTAGTAGATAGACTTTAAAAACCCCATTAACCAACCAACCAGTCTTAATGACCCTGGTGTAGTAGATAGCCCTTTAAACCCCATTAACCAACCAACCAGTCTTAAGACCCTGGTGTAGTAGCTAGACTTTAAACCCCATTAACCAACCAACCAGTCTTAATGACCCTGGTGTAGTAATAGACTTTAACCCCATTAACCAACCAACCAGTCTTAATGACCCTGGTGTATAGATAGATTTTAAACCCCATTAACCAACCAACCAGCCCTTTAATGACCCTGGTGTAGTAGATAGACTTAAACCCCATTAACCCAAACCCAAACCAAAGTGTTAATGACCCTGGTGTAGTAATAGACTTTAAACCCCTTTAAAACCAACCAACCAGTCTTAATGACCCTGGTGTAGTAGATAGACTTTAAAACCCCATTAACCAACCAACCAGTGTTAATGACCCTGGTGTAGTAGATAGACTTTAAACCCCTTTAAAACCAACCAACCAGTCTTAATGACCCTGGTGTAGTAGATAGACTTTTAAACCCCATTAACCAACCAACCAGTCTTAATGACCCTGGGTAGTAGATAGACTTTAAACCCCATTAACCAACCAACCAGTCTTAATGACCCTGGTGTAGTAGATAGACTTTAAACCCCATTAACCAACCAACCAGTCTTAATGACCCTGGTGTAGTAGATAGACTTTAAACCCCATTAACCAACCAACCAGTCTTAATGACCCTGGTGTAGTAGATAGATTTTAAAACCACATTAACCAACCCAAACCCAAACTTAATGACCTGGTGTAGTAGATAGACTTTAAACCCCCTTTAAACCAACCCAAAACCAGTTTAATGACCCTGGTGTAGTAGATAGACTTTAAACCACATTAACCAACCAACCAGTCTTAATGACCCTGGTGTAGTAGATAGACTTTCAAGATAGACTATGGTGTCTATCATTACAATATAATGATCTAAGTTGAGCAATGGTAACATATACATTGGAATTACCCCTTGTTCAGTAACAGAGTCAACAAGACGAGTCAACATGACTGGAAGACATGCCACAGGAACCTTACCAACAATGGTAAGTCGTTGTTAACTATTAATAATTAATAATTATTATTAATAATTAAAATCTGCCACATTAATTAGGTTTATGTGTGCCTAAGACGGTGCAGGTGTTGATGGGGGGGAACAGGTAACCCCCACACTTGCTGGGGAGGGGGATTTTAGCGGCCCGTGGCCTGGTTGGTGACGCTCACGCTTCACACTGTGTCCCGGGTTCGATCCCCGGGACACAGTGTTATACCTGTCTTTTTCATCTAGTAAGTAGGTACCTGGGTGTTGGTTATACCTGCTGTCTTTTTCATCTAGTAAGTAGGTACCTGGGTGCTGGTTATACCTGCTGTCTTTTTCATCCTAGTAAAAATAGGTACCTGGGTGTTGGTTACACCTGCTGTCTTTTTCATCTAGTAAGTAGGTACATGGGTGTTGGTTACACCTGCTGTCTTTTTCATCTAGTAAGTAGGTACCTGGGTGTTGGTTACACCTGCTGTCTTTTTCATCTAGTAAGTAGGTACCTGTGTGTTGGTTTCACCTGCTTTTCTTTTTCGTCTAGTAAGTAGGTACCTGTGTGTTGGTTACACCTGCTGTCTTTTTCATCTAGTAAGTAGGTACCTGTGTGTTGGTTACACCTGCTGTCTTTTTCATCTAGTAAGTAGGTACCTGGGTGTTGGTTACACCTGCTGTCTTTTTCGTCTAGTAAGTAGGTACCTGGGTGTTGGTTACACCTGCTGTCAGTGTTCACCTAACAGTAAGTAGGTACCTGGGTGTTAGTTACACGTGCTGTCAGTGTTCACCTAACAGTAAGTAGGTACCTGGGTGTTAGGTTTCACCTGCTGTCAGTGTTTTCACCCTAGCAGTAAGTAGGTACCTGGGTTGTTAGTTACACCTTTCTGTCAGGTTCACCTAACAGTAAGTAGGTACCTGGGTGTTAGTTACACGTGCTGTCAGT